ATAGAGAGCACCGACGCTGGAAACGGCAGTGCGCATGCGCAGAGTACACTTGTGTATTAATCGATCGTTTATCGATTATTTACAAATAATTCATAAACTTTTGCATACTCAAAGTAAAGCTTAGGCTTCTAAGAATCGTCTCCTATAAGTGAATTGAATTGTTATGCACTATTTAAATAGTTGTAAACAATTTAAGACAACCGTACCATCTGACATAGTTTAATTTCAATCGAGATCGTATCAACACCGGTTTTTTAATGTTGCTAATGATCTATACTAACTTTGCCGAGTACCAAGGTCCATTATTTATATGCATAAAGTTAATAAATAATAGAATAAATTGAATATTTCTAACAAAGTAACGTGTAGTTAAAAGTGAAATCGTCGATGATCCTTTAATAAAAATCGAGATCGTAACAGAAATTTGTCTTGAATGTTGCAACGATCTATATCTATACTATAGTTGACGAGTCGTAAAAGTGAATAATTCATTTATAGAATGTTACAAACAATCGAGTAAAGCGAAAATTCTCACTGAAATTCTCGATGATTGCTTAATAACTATAAAAATCGTGACAAGAATGATCCTTGAAAGTTACTATTGTTCCATGTACCACTATACATTATGTACTACTACTACTACTACTATTACCATCAATGGAAAACCGAATAAATTATTTAGCTATTATTTAACTAGCTCCTCTAGTTTTCAAGATATTTAAAAAAACATGGGTTTCGACCCCAACTATAGGGGCTGTTTTCAGCCCTTGGATATGAACGATTGCTAATAATAATAATAATAATAATAATAAAAAAAAAAAATACGTTTCAAATATTTTATAAGTGGTACCTATCACATACATTTGATGAAAATCGACGTGTGACAATTGGATATGTTCCCTTGCGAGGTCGGTCAAACGATAAGGTGTAAACGACAACAGAAAGTAAGTTATCGACCGAGTGAGGGGTAAGCTGCCAGGTTACCAAAGGGTTGGATTTACGAAGGGGTTGCAGGCAGCACTGTCAGGAGCAAACCATGGGACTGGGCGACCGGGAAGCCGGGAACGGGAAGGTGATAGGGGATGCGAGGAGGCAGTGGTCGTCAGTCGGAAGAGAGAGGCGTGGGGCGAGGTTGTTGCGGGTGAACTCGTGGGGAGAAGGAGAGGCCGAGGGCGAGGGTGAGGGCGAGGGTGTCTGTACGTACACCGAGAGAGAATCGATCTAAAACTAGGAGTCGCCGCAGTAACCGCTGGGAGGAAGCCACTGTTACAATTTGCCCCCATATGCGCTAGTGAAATCTTAGATCGGGTAATTGTACGGCGAGGGCAGCTGGAATGAGGTGTTCCCGCGAGGAGGTGGTCGCTCGCGTACGACCCGCGCGTTTACATGAGCCTCGCCAATGCTGATAGCACCTGGGATTACACGAAGAGTGCTGGGAAGATTCGGGGAACCGGACAAGAAGAGGAGAGACAGGGAGATTGTTGGGACATCGGTGAGAAGAGGATAAGGGTACACGGTGTCGCATCGGAAGGTGTTTGTGCATGGGACGGGCAGAGGATCGCCGATAGGAGCCAAAAGGGAAGAAACGGGAGGAGGAAGAGGCGCACCGTGAAAAGAGAGGGAAGCACGGGAACGGGTGCAGGGGAAGGGACACGGGAATACCGAGAGCGCGAGCAAGGGTGGGCGGATAGTAGTGCACGAGAGCATCCGTGATAATGCGACGTGCGGCTTCTTTGCTCGTTCCTTTTGAATAAGTGCTCGCTGGGACGGTCCCTTACCTGCAGGGATATGACGTAATGGCAAGAGAGGTACGAATTGTCTTTGCTTATTTCCCCCGTTTAGTCTGTCCAACGTCTACCCATCCGCAGACCCTGGACTCCTACCACCCAACCGAGCTGTTTGCTATTCGTTGTTGCTCCTTCACACCTGACACAGACACCTCTGCGAACACGTTTGATCCGCGAGTGCATCATCCTCGGGCATTGACCTGCTTAATCCTCGGTCGGTCCATCGACTGGGGCAACCCTTCGAACAGATAGGGACCTGCCTTCTTCGTGTTACCGTCCTCCCAGCAGTGGTTTTTGACCTAGGCTGTGTGACCTAGACTCGAGGTTCGGCGCAGCTTTTTAGGTTATGCGATGAAAGGACGTGGCCCCGTTCCCCGATCCCCGATCCCCGATCTCCGATCTTCGATCCCCGATGTCCAGGTTGCGGCATTGTTTACCAAGTCCTCTCCAGGACGCCGAACCGAATGCGATTCCGCATCGGGGAACCCCAAAGTGTTTTGCGGATCTCCCGGGGTTTCCCCGGAACGTTTCATCAGCAGCATCCGTACGATTCATTCTCTTTTCTTTGTTCCTTGATCGGTTACCCGAGAATGATTGAATCAGGTCAGTGTTTTCGACCATAAGTTGCGCCCGCGTCTGCGCAACCCCTTGCTTTGCGCCTCCCTGTTGAAAACTAGGGACAACCCAAACATAATAATTCCACTCTTTCCCGTTATTTTAACATTATCGCGTCACGGCCGACTGATCCGGAGACCCCCTAACCTCGAAGATCGACCGATCGGTGCTTTCCTTGCTGCCGTCATTTTTCTATCGGAGGGGTAAGAGGATTTCTTCTCAGGTTCGATTTTCCCAAAGTTCCCAAAGACTCGGAGTCTCGACTAAGGAGACACTCGGTGCTATGCTAATGGACTTGGGATAATTGTTTCTTGGTCCTGTATGTCCCACGTCTATAGTTCGGACTAGCATCCGAACTGGACAAGTATAGAACGAGGGTTCAGGTGAATTTTAATACGAAGAAAATATTGAGCAAAAGTAAAGAGGGGGAAAAAATGAGCGTTGCAAGGATGTATGGGTATTCGATAATAATTTCTCACTCGAGGTGGCGCGATAGGCTTTGTTTATAGTCTGTTCTACTTGGTTATCACGTATAAAACACGTAGGGTAAAATTACTTTCCTGTTGACCCAGCGCAGACACTTCGGTTCGCTTAACATCTAGGCGATAAGCATTTTCCACGGCGGCTCGACAATTTTACGGTTTCTCTTTACACGCAATTACGTTCCGTTTCAAGCTATCTAAAATATACTCGATGGGCTTCGGTAACTAAGTCTTGGCTTAGAGTTTTTCAGGTTCGATTACTTCCGAAATCAACTTTTTCGGAAACCCAAGCCCTCGTATTTTCGGCAGTTTCGAGAATGCATACTCTTGGATCTGGTTAGAGCTGGCTTTACGGTTCCAATTTATCTACATCGTTGAGAAACTCTTTTTCCTCGTCTATCAGCGAGGCTTCCGTGCCCTGCGTTCTACGGATTCTAGCACGAGTCCAACGGTTAGATATCTAGTAATATAATTTTCTGCTAATCCCAATTTATTCGACGGAGTGGAATAATGGACTTGCTTTAGCCGGAAGATTGAAATTTCATTTATTCGATAAAGTTAACATTTGATCCCTCTAGATCCAAATTGGGCTTGAGTCACAATCTTCGATAGACCATTCTTCTATCGAAACGTCTTGCAAGTTGCAAATGGTTTCGTACAAGTCTGCGTTAGATCTAAGGGAGTGGTTTTCTCCACGCTAAAAACGAACAACTCGATCAAGTCCGCAACCCTCGGAGTTCTCGTCCTTACCCGAAACAACAAACAAGAAACGACAACCCTTCTCCCATTTTTCCTCCACAAGCGACACCTTGGCAGTGTGTCGTACGCTTTGACCACTCGTTCACTGGCTGCGTCCGACGGTGTCGTCTAATCCTAAATTGTAACAGTTGATTTCTGTGCAGGAGTTACGGAGCAAGAGACCTTTTAAGATATGGGACAGCTGGCGTAACGTAAGAAAGGGACTGGTTGTTAGCAATTTCGAGGAACTGATACACCGGGGTAAGAAACGCGTCCATTGAAACCGCTAGCGAGCTCTCTAAACGCCATGCTGCTAGCTCTGGAAAGTATATGCACGCATCAACCACGTGGTTTTCATGGTTTTTCGTCATTTGCCCCCTAACCTAACTATCTGGGAATGAATGGGCAGGTTGTACATAGTTCTGCTTCAAGTGAACTACACCGGGTGAATCGCTTAAACTGACACAAGCTATTTCATCGGAGAAAACATTTTTAAAATAGTTCGTAGACTCCAAGTTCTGCGTCTATACGTTTTTAAATCTATTCTTCCTCGTTCGAGATGTTTAAAGATTAATGGCCTCGTAGAACGAGGTCGCAGCAATCTTCTTTAAAAATAAATGTACATACAAGCATGTAATCGAGTATTAATAAATTATCGCTAGGCGCCAGCTAACATAAGCTACGATAAATATTCATCGAAAAGATAAATAAAACAAAGTTGGACTCTAAAAAAAAAATATCGTCATCAACCCATGCAGTAGCAAAGAAACATCTTTAACGAACTTTAAAGGAAACAGTTTGCGACAGTTTACATGGCTCACCCCATATAAACGCGTTCTATACCAATTTAAGAAATTATGTACGATTGGACGGTCGGAAAGAAGGTCCAACAAAAAAGTATATGAATATTTTTTATAGAGGGCATATCGTTTATCCCTAACGTGCTTAATTTGAACGAAACTTACGTAGACTGTAAATTTGTAAAAAGTAATTGTAACGTAATAAATATTCATATCTACTCGTGTTATATTATTGTATCGTTAGGCTACTATTAAACGCAAACAAACGTAATGGAAATGTAATGTCTGTGCGACGCTGTTCCTCTCGCAGGCAAGGAGAAGTTGGGCGTGCCACAAAACGAAAATGTCTCTCTAGTGTTGGAGTCGGACGGAACACAAGTCGAGGACGGAGAATACTTCAAGACCCTAGCGAACAATACGATCCTGCTGTTGCTGCGGCATGGTGAACGCTGGTGTCCAACAGGAGTCGACATCATACGCGCCGGTATCTATCCATTGAAAGCACACAGTTAATCAAGGCTAAACTTGACAAATTTACCTATACTTGGTTTCCGTTGCATCGTATTTATGTACATCGTATATTATATTTATTACAAAAACAACCGAGAAAATAGAAAACGAACCAAGGGGAAGATATACTATAATGTAACGCCATGCTTTGTGGGATAAGGGATAAAGCTAGTCTATGAGTTTTCTCAGAGGCGTCGCGTGGTATTTTTATAGCAAACGTTTGCGTTGTCGATTGATTCATCTCGCAACGTGCTCGCCTAGCGTGAAGCGTGAAATTATAGGTCGAAGGTGTTGCGCCTAAGGGCGTAGATCGAGTAGATCGCGTACATCTTGTAAACGATGTAAAATAATACCACGTAGCTCGCTTATAAATCTCTTTTCCTTTTAAAAAGAAAACGTCGTGTCGACTCCGTACAAGAGAATCCGTGTGATATCTAGGAAAAAATATGTCTCGAGCCTGGTATAATCGAGATAACGTTTACCGATTACAGCGATTTCAGCCATACCGAAAATAGTTTGCGAAACGATCCACGCCCTGGAGCTGCACGATGAAACGCCGTCGTGGAAGATCATGGACAATAAGGGACGAGTCACCGTGGTGCTCCACTGGGATCAGCGTTCGTCCACGTCGTCGCAGGTGCAGCAACAACAGAAGGGTCCGGACGCCCAGAGCTCCAAGTATTCGCCCACAAAGAAAGCCGATCTGAGCGGATCCCAGCGGCCGTCGTTGGTGATACAGACCAGCCTGGACAAGTTCAACTACAGGGAGAAATCGGGTCACTTGGCGGCGGAGATCGGTCCCAGTCGCTACACCAGCCCCCAAATCACTGTGATAAATCATGACGACATGGTACGATAATCCTGGCTCTTTTCCGTTCCGTTTACGATTCTGTTTCACTGATTAACACGAGGTTTCCGGATGTGTAAGTCGTCGGCTCCGATGGCGCCCGACAACGTCCCCGGTTCTATCTAGACGGGAGTAACGCGTCTCGTAGGGTCAGAAAGACGACCCGCACCCGGAAGCCTCGGTGGTGTCTCGCATCTCGCGTTGTAGCCTCTCGAAAGTCATCGTTTAAAATGTCGTCGTGGTAACGACAGCAGCAGCAGTCGCAGCCGCCGCAGCCGCAGCCCCACGGGATCTCCGGCCGCCTGGTCAAGCAGAGCACCAACTCGTTCGACAGCACCACCATCCATATCCATACGCCGGAGTGCTCGAACCACATCCATCAGCCGGTGGTGCGTAACGGGAGTCCTGTAAACGGGGCGGACGGTGGTGCCAGCGGGGAATGCGACTTCCACTGCTGCGCCCTCCACGAGGAGGGACGCAGAATCGCCGTGCACAAATCCGTGGCCACCTCGCCGATCCAGGACGCTCAGCATCAACAGTATCAGCAACAGCAGCAGCAACAGCAACAGCAACAGCAACAGCAACAGCAACAGCAACAGCAACAGCAACAGCATCATCATCAGCATCATCAACAGCAACAGACCCAGACTCAGACCCCGTCTCCTCAGCCGCCGTCCTCGTTGTCGGATGGCACGAGACGGCCCGGTCTGGCCAAGGGTCACGTCAGATTCTGCGATACCGCCGACGAGGAATCCAGCCCGCGGTTGGCTGGAAACTCGACCGGCGGGTTTCACCTTCATCATCATTACAATCATCATCAGGAGCACGATAGCTCCGAGTCGGAGACCGAGAACACGATCATGGAGGACGAGATCGTCACCTCGGAGAAGTTTTTACTGCTCATAGATCAGCTCACCGTAGACCAGAAGCATTTAAGCATCAAGGACATCGGTATCATCCTCGAACGGCTCAGCTCAAAGATTCTCGACGTCGAGCGTCTCGATCGCGAGAGCGAGAGCGAGGAGTGTTACAACTGGACGATCAAGGCGATCATCAGGGGCGACGTATTGAGGGAGTTGGGGATCATTTACAACGGGAATTTCTATGCGATCTCCGAACATCCCGGCTACAAGGAGGAGTCTGAGGAAAATAACGAGGATAACGAGGAGGAGGAGGAGGAGGATAGACTTTAATATGATGCTGTTTTACTAGATAGATAGTTAGATCGATAGATAGATAGATAGGTAGATAGATAGATAGATAGGTAGATAGATAGATTATACACCTATTAATGATTATTATTAAATATAGTACGTAACGAGCTGTTAGCTGATTGGTGGTGGGCGGTGGGGGGTGGGGGATTCGAGAATAGCGTTAAAAAAACTTATGGGGGGGGGGGGGAGGTCAAGAGGGCGAGAGGGTGGATACACCGGGAAACTGGTAGACGACTGGCGAAACGTGATTTTTTTCAAAATGTTTTCATAATAAAACAAAGGAACGCGTCACGATAAAAGGATTTAAAAAAAAAAAACAGATCATACGATACCTTATAAACTTAGTTCTAAAGACGGTTGTTGAAATATGTACTTATTAAATAGTATGTATACTTGTAGGAAACGTTTTTGGGATTACGGACGTTCAGTTCGTAACCGTCCACAACACTGCCCTATCTAAAAAACAAAAAATGAAAAAAAAAGAAAATAAACGACGAGAACGAGAGAGAGAGAGAAAGAGAGAGAGAGAGAGAGAGAAAGAGAAAGACAGAAAGAGAGCGAGTTCTGGTCTCTCTACAAGCAATCCCGCGAGTCCTCGCGAGGATCGAGCGGAAGAAACTGCCAAAACCTCGTCCCCGAGGAGAACCCGAAGAGACGAAAAAGGAAACCGAATGAAGAGGAGCATTCCCGTGGCACCCATCGTGGATCGCCGACGCGGATTCTTTCATCGTGTTGTAAGAGTCCTTGGTCGTCCGAGTCGGGCATTTTTTACTTGTAGCTGTTCTCGTTTTCCTTCGAAATGTTCTCAGCGACGAAGTAAACATTTTCTTTTAACGAATTTCATTGATTTTCGCCCGACTCTCGTCACGCGTCATGCCGTACTGCACTCTAGACTCGGTTAGGGGAATTCGTGCCAAAGCAGGGGAATACCGTTACCCCTTCTGCTTGTTCTGGGTCATGCGCAAGATCTAGGTAGATTCGCGGCGTGGTTGCGCAGGCGCCAAATAAATAGTTACATGGCGCGAATACGCATAAATCATTGCGTCGCTGACCGCGCTACAAGCTTAGAAAATGTCGGACCATTACGTTATAGTATTTTAAGTTTATCATAGTATAATTATTATTTATAAAATACATATTATCGCGTGTCACTACATAATTTATTAAAACGACGTTACGCTCAAATACATGTATGTATATTCGGCGTTTTGCCCGAATTGATATTCAAACGAGAGGGAAAAGTGTTGGCGGCACACTAGCCGTGTATTCTTCTAATTTGGCACGATTACTGCAACCGTACATGGGTAAAAACCTCGTCGAACACCCGTTATACGCGTATATACACACGCACGCACGCACGCATGCACGCACGCGCGCGCGTATTTATACGTACGTACACAGAGATATACGTATGCTTGCACGGTGTACAGACCGCGTAGGATCGTTCAGAATTTACGTTAGCGAACACGCTATACCATAAGTGATATACCGATACATACATAAAGAAACTTTGCAATTTTAATATATTTCTATTGTAAGTATACTTCACACTGCGAATCGAGGACACGATAAAAACTATATATGTATGTTAGCGGTAACAACGTCGTGCAAATGAGAACACACTTTATACATAACGATATTAAATATATATATACATATATATATATATAAAATTATAAATTACGCTTCGTACAGGACTCGGTGGTCAGAGATTGTTTGCATCGGAGATGAGGCAAAATTTTATTCGCAGAATGAGTCTGTCGATGGACTCTAACAATTCAATAAAAAATGTAATTAATTGGCCGCATATATCTTCTGTGTACTTTAAATTTAAATCCATGATATCGATAGCACGATGGAATCGTGTAAGAGATTATAAATGTGGATAATACGGATTCAGAGCCAAGGTTACAAAAGAATAATTCGATTTTGTCTCTTGAAAAAGTTGTGATCGAAGAATCTACGTTAAATTGGTTTTGTTTTGTTAGTTAAGAACGCGCAGTCCTGGTTGTATTAAAATTTCAGTGGACGACGACCAGTACTCTGCGTGTGCCACGGGGTCCCTGTTTTTCGGTCAGTGACGCTCGTATTCTCACGACATAAAGCGTGAATTATTTCAACGCACGGCTGAATGAGAGCTCAAAGTTGCTTCCCAAGGTTTTATTCGAGGGACAACGGGTGAAAGGTTGTTCATCTTTTATCGTTTACGTCAATTGTTTACTCGAATAAGAATTTTCCTCGTCTCTAGTGCTTCTCTTCGAGAGAAGAGAGAAATAGGAAGGATTGAGTGCACGCGCGTGCGAATGCGTGGCTGGCTGAGCGAATGTTGCGACTTTTTCATTATCTTCTTCTTCCTTTTAAACAATTTAGCGGTACGAAGTGTGTTCGCGAACAGCTTCGACGTTTCCACCGTGATGGAAAACCAGTTTATAGGTTTTCTCGCAATCGTAGTGCCATCTTAACACAAAAAAAACATGAATAAATAATTAAAAGTGATCGAACAGCGGAATAAATAAAAGATGAATGAGTAAAATAAATAATAATAATAATAATAATAATAATAATAATAATAATAATAATAACAACAACAAATAAAAAAATAATAATAAATGATAACAGAGAGAAATAAAAGGATTGTTATAAGTTGTAACTGTTGTTTTTTGGTACATGCAGATACTATATTACCTATGTATATGAGAAAAAGTATGGCCTCTGCCGTTCATTTATGTAGCCTACTCCCAGTATCCATTTTTCGTGCTAGCGAACAGAGCTACCGAAAACGACGTAAATCATTCGGTACAAGATCACTGAAACACAGAAAAGGGGGAATCCCTGAGACAGAGAATAACCTCGCATTACGATTACCTCTGCGTATCTGCATGAGCTGCTCGAGTCTGAAATGTCTGTGTTCGAGACAGCGCCGAATTGAGATTTTGTAGACCTCTGGCCTACAATTACTATCTGTACATATATATGGCTTCGTTAATATTCTGTATGCATATTTCAAGTAAACATATTACGGCAAAAGTAAACATTGCACTGTATACATACGTATATACACACACACACACACACACACACATACACACACACACACACACACACACACACACACAATATACATATGTATATATACAATATACATGTATATACGTATGCTGTATATGTACCCATGTATATACAGGGTATAGCGAAATTATGTTAACACTTTTAAGGAATGTAAATAAATACTTTTTCCATTCGAGTGTTGATATAGTTATGAGAAAATCTGCATTTATGTATATGTTAATCGAAACGATTCATGGCGTACATAAAGATTTTTAATCAAACTAAAGCTACGTTTGGATTCATAATTTTAGCTTGAGTTTGAATGAAATTGAAACAATTTGATATCGTTATTTATATCAATATATTAACACGTACAATGTGTCTTTTTGTCGTCTTGAGGTATATATACATATACATATACATATATACAGCATACTAGTTTAATCTTTCTTTAAATAGCTAATTTCAAGTATTCACACTTTGATTCGGTATTTGCAAACGATCTTTTCATTAAGTCTTTGAAGGCCCTTCAGCCTTCCTTGGGCTGTAGCCCCTAAACTCCCCGACTTGATTCAACTCTGGTTCCAAAGGCCGGGTAAAATAGGGGAGCGAAAGCGAGAATTGTGATGAAACTGAATTGCGAGTTCATAGTTCGGTCATTACCAGCGTTGGGCATAACGTAATTCACGACTAACAATTAACGAATAATAATCGGTAGCCACGATGAACGATTAACGAACAATCAGTCGCAAATAACGATTGACGAACGATAGGACGCGATTAAGGCTACGAATGATTACAAATTACTGATTCACCAGATTGTGGATCGCTGATGCAACAATTGCAATAGCGATCGGCAAAGCAATCACCAAAGTAATCACATACAGTAATGAGAAAGTAATCGCTGCTCAACTCTGGTCGTTCACACGCGCGCGTTTTCGACTCTGTAACACTTTCGTCGTTCTAGATCATAATAGATCCTATCGATTCGCCTGCGAGACTTTGCACCGAGGCAACGGGGTTAGCGAATCAATAAAAAAGAATAAAAAAGGAAAGAAAGGAAAAGTTGAAGGAAAGAGATTAGAGAGAAAGAAAGGGAGAAGAGCGTGCGCGATTCTTGTAAGATTTAGAAAGAGTCTTCCCTCTAACCAGCGCAAATCGGCGCGAACCGGCGCGGTGCATACACGTGTGTACTTAATAATACACGAGATACGATATGTAAGAAGAAGATAACAAAGAATATAATATATATTTATATATGTACACACACACACACACGCGCACAAACACACACACGCACACACACACACACACACACACACACACACACGTACACACATATTGTATATTATATATACATATTCACAATTTGCAATCCTACTGTGCACTGTCGAAACGAAACATAAAATGATGTAGCGTGCGAATTAAGGTTTTTTAAGCATTAAAAACGATGTACTGACTTTTTTAACGACGTTTTGTCACGTTACGGCGTACTATATATATATATACAAATATAAATAAATGAATATACATCATATATGTATA